AGCCTTGTGCTTACTCTTAGCGGACTCAGAACAATGACAGATTGCCTTCTACCGTTATGTTTTCCCTCCCTTGCCCTTACCTTGAATCACCTGATGATTAGCACCCTCAACATTTTCCATAAGAAGCAGAGCAGAGGTGAGCTAGCCAAGCTGTTCCCCACTGAAGGGAGATACCATAAAAATAAAGGCAGGTGCCCTGGCCCCCTCCTGCCACATGGGCATGCCTCATTTGTTCTAAAGTTATACTAGATCATGCTTTTACTTATTAACTATTTTATTGTTCTCTTCACATATGGAAGCAAAGGACTCTATTACGGCAATTCTTGTCTTACGCCTTGTGTAGGGTAAGAGAGCACCAAGGATATGCCCCATCTAGAAAGCCTGAAAGCAAGCTATTTTCTAAAACCTTTGTCATTAAACAATAGTTGAGTGCCTTTTGTGGACATAATCTGTAACATTATCTGAAATGAATGTGGTGGGAAGTCCAGTCCTTTATAGAAGCATATTCTTCTCATCTGAGAAGATTTACTTAAAATAATTAAGGTTAGATAGCTGCACGACCTCTTATTGTCTAGTTCTCACTCTCAGAGAACCAGGCATGCTACTGAGAGTATCCTGCCCGCACGGCAGAGTCTGGCAAGCTCCCCGTGGCATATTTAATGTTCCAAAACCCAGTAACGATGAGTCTCATTCCCCTGACCCTGAAAGAGCCTCCAATATGGCACCGTTGGGAAGGCCGAGTAAACAGAGGCTGCTAAAATCTCAGGGCTAGGACGAATGGAGACGTTACTGGTGCCTGCTCGAGGAAATCGATGAACAGCTGGATGGCAGTGAATGTTAGACTGAGTATATGCATTTTCATGTATGTGTGTGATGTCATTATTTCATTCTTGCTGATAACTGGATGAGTGTGACATATCTCTGTGCTGGCTTCTACAAATATATTGTTTTCATCAAACAGTGAATTAACAATAAAACATATTGAAGTTTACATCTAAAATAAGATTATTTAAAAAGCTGTGGATTATTCTTCCCACTTTGGTACTCTGAGTTGACACTTGTTATCAAAAAGGACCTTTTTTAATATTATGTGTCTTCCTTTCATGTAAGTCTAAGATTCTTGGAGTTAGCAGTGGTGTTCTCTGCATATTTAGTGTTTAGTGCCTACCAATTCTCATCATTTTAAATTCAACTTCAATTAGTTAAAAATATAATTTTCCAACACCTTTTTGAAGGTGTTATTATACAAAAAAAATAAAAAGAATTCATGTAACTTAACACCCAAAATGCTGGCAGCTAGGTAAAAAAATGTGGGCAACAGGCCTGAATAGACACTTCTCCAAAGAAGACTTAGGAGGCCAGGAATATGGTAGGTTACTTGCCTGTATGTGGTCCTGGGTTCCATCTCTGGCACTGCAAAAACCAACAGAAAACCCGGAGAAGACATACAGATGGCCCACAGACACATGAAAGATGCTTAATGTCACTATTGGGGAGATACAGATCCAAACCACAAGGAGATATTTCCTCAACATCACTAGGTAAGAATGTCTTTTGTTGAAAAGATTGAGACCAAGAAGTATTGGCAAGGCTGTAGAGAAAAGGGTACCCTGGTACACTGTAGGTGGGAATGAATATAAATTGGTGCCTCAGAAAATGGTATGAAGACTCTTTTACAAATTAAAATGAGGGCTGGAGAGATAATTCAACAGGCCAAATGCATGCTTTGCATATGGGAGACTTGAATTCAATCCCTGATAGCACATGGTACCTGGAGCACAACTGGGAGGGGTCCTAAAGCATATAGTCGCCCCTGAGCACTGCCAGGTATGGCTCCCAAGCCAAAAATCAATTTAAATAAAGATCCCAGGGAGATGGTCCAAAGGGCTGAAGCATATGCTTTGCATGTGTGAACCCAAGATTCAATCCCTGCCACCTCATAGTTCTCTGAGCACTGAAGAGAGTGGCCCCCAACAGCAGTATAACTCTTAGGAACTTATGCAAAAGCTATAAAACACTAATTTGAAACCCATATGTCTATAGAAACAATATTCAGAATATCCAAACCATGCCATTAACCTCAGAGTCTATTGACATATGAGTGAAGAAGCTGTAGAGCATAGATACTCAATGGATACTCAATTCAGCCATTACAAAGGTGAAACTGGGATCAGGGAGATAACTCAAAGGTCTGGTGTGCATATATGAGGCCCTGAATTCAGTCGCCATCTCCAGATGACTTCCTAAGCACCACTGTGTGACCCTGGTGACCTCCAGCACCACTGGGCTCAAGCAGTACAGTGTCAGTAGACCTGAGTATTGAACCATCAAACTGATAGCCAGGTATGTCTGGGAGTGACCTGTGCCCCAGAACACTTTTGGGGATCCCCCAAAGAAACTGTGCCTTTTGGGACAATGTGGATCGAACTTGAAGTGATTGTGCTAAGGAATAAGTAAGGAAGTAAAGACCATTATTAGATGGCTTCACTCACATGTAGAATATGAATAATTACAGCAAATGAACAGGCAAGAAACAGAATTTCCTTCTAGACTTGCTTGACCTCAAGAAGGAGAGGAATCAGGACCAGTGAGCACACAGTCCTGTTAGGTGGTGAGATGTCTCTGGAAACATGGAGGTGAGTCTTGCACACTTGTAGAGGTGTGAAGCTAAATCTTGGAATCCCATCATATTGTCAACCAGTGATTAAGTCAATAACAAAACAGTTTTAAGAATACGTGTTTGTTGAAGGATATTATGAAGTGCAAATTTATGTGGTCATAAGTGTCAGGGAAAATCTAAGTCATTGTCCTAAAGGTGAGCTTCATATTGGGTATGGAAGATGAGAAGGACTTGTCCAGAAAAAGAGAAAGTATGCCAGACATTTCCGTGGAAGCCAAACCTTTCTGGATTGAATTACTTAATTTCTAAGGGTTATGAGGAAAGAAGCTACCGAGAGTATTCGATATGCCAGACACAGTAACAACAAAGTCTCCAATGGAGACGTTACTGGGCCCGCTCGAGCAAATCGACGATCAACGGGAGGGCCTTTACCTTTACCTATGAGGAAAGAAATCACACCCCCTACCTCCTTCAAAAGTTTTTCTGGCATCTTTGGTGTCATCATTTCTCAGGGTCAGAAGAACCTTGGAGAACCTTGGTCCTCCCAGCAGCATCCTATTTGTGAGTCTCTCCTTTGAGGACTGATGCTAGATTGATTCAGGGTGTGATGAGAGCAAGATCACGACTTCATATTGCCCTTTTTCTCAGAAAGAGAAGCATTCTCTCCTGTTCAGTCTTGGTGCTTTTTTTTTGTTCTGGGTAAATTTGAATATGATGTTTCCAGTATCAGTTTTCTGGTATTGTTTGGGACTAGAATGTACAACTTGTGATTAAAAACCTATTTCCAAAACTCGTGTTCTTTTATAAGGGGTCAAGGTGTCGTTGTCACAGAAACCAGTGGGGAAGGTGGTGATCTTTCACTTCTCACCTAGGGTGTGCCCTGTACTGTTTTATAAAGACTCTCCATGAGTTATGGTAGATAGAGACCATCTTGTCCTGCAGAAATGCAAGTATTAGCCTTTAGTAGCTCACAGAACTCTGGGTTATGTTCCACAAATATTGATTCACTGACTCCACAAATATTTATCATGTCAGACTTTCAGCAGAGGGCTGGTGATAAAGGCAGAGGCGTCCCTTTCCCTCGTGGAATGTTTGATCTCGCAAATCCCAAGGGAGCCACGTAAGCCCTGTGATCCTCAGCCAGCTGCGCCTCTGCTGTCAGAGTCCTCACATCCCACTTCTCCTATCCCATTAGTATTCTGGAATATTCTGGAAGGTCCTGAGCATCTTTCCAAAGCCATGAGCATCCATTTCTTCGACATTTCCTGCTTTCAGTATAATTTTCAAAGATGCTGAAGCACAAGTGCCAATGCAAGCAGAGACATGAAATAATAATCATTGTGTGCATTTAAAGAATAAAATGGAAAATGTTTGTGTGTTATTATTTTTGTGAAAGCCTTCTCAAATTGTGAACTTTAGCTGGAAGTTGTTAATCAAGGTATGGCGATTGGATTTTTACTCACAGAGTTGAACTTGACCGTGTTGTGTGTATGTATAATATACACCATCACATGTGTTGGCAGGAAAAAAATATCCAGGAAGGAGATTTACATGAGGCTTGGATTGGGAAGGTAGACATGGAATTGAACCCAGAACAAGAGATTTTATAAAACTAGCACAAATCCGCATTCTCACCCATTGGGTAGGGGGAAAATATCAAAGTGGATGTATGGTGTGAGGCTGGGTACCCCCCTGGAGAACAGTGAGGTTGCCAGGGGCTCATGCTCTCTACACAGGCCCTGACATAGAGTAGGCCCTCAATAAACACTTGTCAAATGGATGAAAAATAGGGGTTCTTCAAAAGAAAGTTCACTCAGGGAAAATGAATAGATTTACTCATTCATTTAGTAAGCAAACAGTGATCTCAGTGAGGTGGGACAGGGGCTTTGCATGATGACAGCTGTGCTCCCACTCCAGCCAAAGGAGAAGGTGAGGGTGTTCCGTGCGCTTAGGAGCTGGCAGAAAGTGTGATTTTTATATGCTCAACCGTGTGGTGCAAAGCCCTTTTTAATTTCAAAAAGCTTGGTGACAGGCTAATCAAAGAGGATGTGTATGCATGTGATATTTTCTAAGCCATGTTTGCCATTAATGAAACAGTTTTATTTCAGTAAAGCTGAAATGAAGAAAAAGACTTCTCCTTCGTCTTTAAAGCAGAGCGCTCCTCCTGATCTTGATTAAAGGCGCCTAGTACAGCTCTGAGTTTAAGAGTTCCCACCCGCAGGCTTCCCCTTGCCTTACTAACTGGGATTTGGGCTGACCTTGTCTTAGTATCCATCACCCCACTGATAGCAGCCTCAGGAGCACCCCCCCCCGTTCAGACATCAGACCTCTCTGGAGGGTGTGCACCCCCTTTCTCAGTTTCTGTTCTTCTGCTCCCTAGGACTGCATTGATGTCGGCTGGTGGGAAGGAGAACTCAACGGCCGAAGAGGAGTGTTTCCTGATAACTTCGTCAAGTTACTTCCACCAGACTTTGAAAAGGAGGGGACTGTAAGTCTTTGTGGCTTTCATCTCAGTGCTCCACATGCTGTCCAAATTGTGGCTTCCAGGGCTTACGGCAGGGTAGGAGGTGTTTAGTAACATATAAAAGGTATGTTCGCATGCCTGTGTTTTGTGTGCCCACACATGCCTTGTTTGCGCTCACTTTTTTTTTTTTGCTTTTTGGGTCACACCCAGCGATGCACAGGGGTTACTCCTGGTTCATGCACTCAGGAATTAACTCCTGGCCATGCTCGTGGGACCATATGGAATGCTGGGAATCGAACCTGGGTTGTGCCGCGTGCAAGGCAAACGCCCTACCTCCTGTGCTATTGCTCCAGCCCCTGCACTCACTTCTGATCTGTGCTTTTTCTTCTTGGGGCTTCATTTTAGGATGCCCTTGTTTAATGGAGACAGTCTATGATAGCGCATGCCAGGTGGGTTGCTTCTCTTGCTCACATAGCAATGAAAGGAGAAAATTAGCTCTTTACATCCGTATCTCTCAACTGGCCTGGTTGTGGGCCTCCAAAATACACCAAGGAGACCACAAGTGAAAGTCACAGAAATGGGGCCCAAAGCAAATGTGCAGCATGTAGGGTACTTGCCTTGTACACAGCCAACCAATTACTGGCACCCCATATGGTCGCCGGAGACCCGCAAGAAGTGATTCCTGAGTTCAGAGCCAGGAGTAAACCCTGAGCACTGCTGTGTATGACTCCCACACCCAAACAAAACAAAAATAACTAAAACAGAAGAACAGGGATAGTTTTACTTCAACATGTTCAGAATTATGTTTTTTATGGTGTATAAAGTGTGAGTACATTTTCAGATGGGTTGGCTTATACATTTATTAAGAAGCCATTTTGGACCCACTGAATTGGGGTTGGGGTGGCATTAGCTTGACCACAAATTCCTTTCCCATTTCCTTAGGCAAATTGAGAATTACAGAGATTAAGCCCTGTAATGGCATGTTAATTAGCCCTTCTGTTTCACTCTTCTCAAAAACAAAACACAAAACAAAAACAGGGGCCTAAGCAGTAAGACTGCCGGAAGGGCAGGTAGGGAGGTAGGGTTCTTGCCTTGCCTTGCAAGTGGCTGATCCAGGTTTGATCCCTGGCACCCCAAATGGTCTCCGAGCCTGCCAAGAGTGATCCCTGAGCACAGAGCCAGGAGTAATTCCTGAGCACAGCCTATGACCCCGAAGCAGAACAAAACAAAAAGAAAGTGACATAAACAAGGGGCCATAGCATGAGAAGAGGGGGCCAACAAGTAAGAAATGGGGGCACAGGAAGAAAACAAGCTGTGAAGAAGGGTCACGGTCCTCCCGTTATTCATCGATTTGCTCGAGCGGGCCCAGTAACATCTCCATCGTAAGACTTGTTGTTACTGTGTTTGGCATATCGAATACGTCACGGGGAGCTTGCCAGGCTCTGTCGTGAGGGCGAGATACTCTCGGTAGCTTGCCGGGCTCTCCGAGAGGGGCGGAGGAATCGAACTCGGGTCGGCCATGTTGGCTGCGTGCAAGGCAAACGCCTTACCCGCTGTGCTATCGCTCCAGCCTTCAAAGAAGGGTATGGTCAGGAAAAGATATACAAACACTGTTTTACATCGGAAAGAAGCATGGAGTTGTTTGTAGCCATCCCATTCTGTGCTTTTGGACACCGTGCTTAGCCCCTGGTCAGGCTCTGTCCTGCCTTCTGCTCCTATGAGCACTGAAGCAGAAACCTGACCTGGACCTATCAACATTCCCGTGAACCTGAGGCTCAGGAAGGATAATAGCCTCAATCCTGGTAGTTTGCCAGAATACTAAATAGCATAAACGGCGTGTGCCCTCCTGTGCTGTCTGGTTGTGTGAATGAATATAATTGTTCCAGAAACCCGATGATGTCAGCATCCCCAAAAGCAATGGATTGGTTTAAAGTCTGATCTCCACATTTGGGCTTTTAGATAGCTTTGCCTTGTATCATTTACTGAAAGATGTCTTGTTCCACTGCCCTGCTTCTCTTGAACTGAGTTTGGAATCTGAAAGCTGTGGGTACTACTTCCCCATGTTTCCTGGATCCTTGATGCTGAAGGTGGAGACCGTGGGCTAGCAACATCAGCAGCACCTGGTGCTTGGTGAAAATCCTCAGTAGAGGCGTTTCCAACCCTTTTTTTCTGGAGGCACGTGCTTAGTGTTGCTCAGGGTTTCCTCCTTCCCCTTTGCTCAGGGATCACTCCTGGTGGGTCTCGGGAGACCATATTGAGTGCCACAGATAGAACCCAGATCAGCCACACATGTGTAGGGCAAACACCTTCCCCACTGTACTCTCTCCCTGGCCCCGGTATCCAGCCTTTTTATGTACATAGTCCAGCACTGGCCCATGGTCTGCACTAGTCCAGGGACCGCTAGGTAAAAACCACTGGCTTAGAAGTCCCCTGAAATCTGATGCATCAGAACCTGCATTTTAACAAGATATCAAGGGATCTGTTATCACCTTGCAGTGTGGTGAACACTGGTATAGAAATAGGTGTCTGCATAAGTGAAGACAGCCCCATCTTCTGGTTCCCAAGCTTATTTTAGGAGTGGAATGTATTCACAAAGCAGAGAGAGCTCATCCTTCAATAAAGGAATTGTTCATCAAATAAAGCCTCCCAAGCCATTTTCACCAATGAGCATTGCTATGGTTGCATGATCAGTTAACAACTGGGAAAACAGAGGCTGACAGTAATGACTAGATAGTGTTTTGAAACAACAGGAGACAGGAATGAGGTTTGGCAAACGTTGATAGAGTATTGTGGTCAGGGCTCAGTACCTTAGAGTCTGATAGTCCTGGCTTGAATCTTGGCTTTGTCCAGGTCTGCTCAAGGCCAACTCACTGGCTGGCCCTCAGTCTCAGTCCTCTCATCTACAGAACTGCGAGGATAATTTTGTCTACCTTGTTTAACTATTGAAATGTACTGAGACGTGCAAATGAATCTTTAGTGCACTGCCTAGCACTTGGCAAATGCCAGCACACAATAACCAGCCGGGTCTCTGTCATTACTGTTCCCACACTGACGCTCTGCCATGATGATAGAAGTCTGGTTCTGTTTCACCAAACGATAATTCTCTTGATGTCTTGGAGCGAGGCCCCGGCACTCGAAATGTATTGATGACTAGTCATTGAAAAGAAATCTAATGAATGCTTTATAAAATATATTCATAGAGACAAATTAGCACAGAATGATATAATCCTCATGTTGTTCTCTCCCTTTTTAATTTTTCGGGATCTTCTGGGTGATGATGTTGTTGTTGTTGTTGTTGTTGTGTTTTAAATAGAAACCTCCCCCAGCAGTGCTGGAGGAAGATGTGGACACAGGGGCCATTCCCAGAAGTACTTGGCTCAGAATTCTGGGCCTGATGGTACTGAGGTCCAGAGATATGGGGCTGTTTGAACGCAGATATTCTGGGAGCCACCAGGACAAACCAGTTGTGCTGGCAGGGGGAGGGCAGGGGGCATGTGGTGCCCAGAATGGAACACACAGATTTACAAGCATACCATCCACTGCCTTCTGTTGCTGCCTTCTGGGTTTGGATTGAGGTAGTGTGATTCTGAAAACTATAGTAAAATCATTCTTTTAACTACAGGCAAAGCCTATGGTCGCCTGCATTGTGGCAGCCGGTCTTCCTGTTCCCAGTCGTATTTTACTGGGGCAATAAATGGCCTCCCTTTTCGAGAAGCTCTGCTCTGTTACATAAGGGATTAAGGAGTGACTTGCACTGACAGGGTGAAATTGTGCCAAGTAGCTCCTCCTGACCAGCTCATTGGGGCATGCACGCTCTTTAGGACCCCACAGGCACCTCTCTAACTCCTGACAAGCGGCAGTCATCCCTTTGCGACATCCTTTAACCTCGCTCCTAAGAAGCAGGAACTCAATTTTAGGGAAACAATAGCCATACCTGTCAGACACAGTAATAGGTATAGCTGAGAAGTGATTGTGTAAATGTGACATTAAGCTTTTAGAAAATTCAAAGTATCGCATCTTCTTTCATCTCCATCTGGCCTATAAAACCAGCCAACCAGCTTTGCACGGGTTGTTACTCCAGCCTTTATTGCTGCACCCAGAGTGTTGGTGAGTCGCTGGCCATGTGATGGGTCCGCCGTTGGCTGAGTTGACTGTGCAAAGATGATTAGAATCATTAACACAAAGGCACTAAGTGAATGGCAGAGTCTGCAACGTTATTCTGCCACCAGTTTCAGCAGATGTCATCTTGTCTTGCCAGTGGCTGGGGTTGCAATCATTCACCCAGAAAAGAGGCTGATCTGTGCTGATTAGAGTAAACAACCCCCCCAACAGCATTTCTTCAACAGCAGACCTCTTGAATCAGTGGGCCACACTGAGCGTTCAGACAAGGCGAGCGTGCTGCGGTTGATACCAGCATGGGATGGCCTTTGGGAATTCCTGGGGTTCTTCTTTTTTTTCCAGCAAGTGCTCAGCCCATTCGCCAGGATAATGGGTGCTCTGGGGCTTTTCCTTAAGCTGTTAGCAGAGAGCACCCATTGATCTCTTGGTGCATATTTTAGAGCAATTATGTAAGCTATTTATGAGTGAACTGAGAATTCATGGCTTTCTATTTATTTTAAGCCTTGGCAGTCAAATTGAATATCAGAATGAAAAGATTAAATATTCTGAGCACTCTAATGAGGCAGTGTGCATGCTTTGTCATTATTACAGGAGGAAAAGATGCGAGTCAGGCTCTCAAGAATAGCAGAAACAACTCACGGTCCTTACAAAAGTTAGAAAGGGTCAGGGATGTGGATTAAGTGGAGAGCACTTGCATGTGCAAGGGAATGGGTACAATCCTTGGCACCTCTGTAGTTCCTTGAGTACCACTGGGAATGCCCCTGCCCCCATTAAAACTTCTTTTAAAATAGAGGCATTCTGAAAGACTTCTTGAAGCAGGTTTCAGGCTCCAGCTCTTTAAAGTTGATCTGTTCCCAGTCATCAAAAGGTATTTCTGTTCTAGCTTGCATCCTTTTGGATGACTT